TGTCAAAAGGAATATACTCTAGAAACACTGGCAATTCACTCTACGTTGGGGCATTTGGGGGCATTTGGGGAGAAAAAGCAAAAGAGACGCGCAGCGGCAACAGCGCTGTTGATGCGAGTAGGTTTGTTATGTACTCGATTGTTACTGTGGAATGTGTCGTATCTGCGGCCCAATGATGCTCGTCTTGTCCAGCCCAGTGCCAACAGAGAGCGAGGCATCCGGTTTTCGCCTGCTCAGCCGAAGGATCGCCCCCCTGCGTGAGTTGACGCTGCACAATTGTCTCACAGAGGCCAAAGTTGAAGCCTGGGGGGCCAGCACCAATGAAAGGAAGAAGCGAGACAAGGGCAGTTTCGATATTCCGTAGGTACCGGTACCGTTGTGCGTTAGTCTGGTTGTTGTGCGTATTCTACTCTACCCGGATACACGCAAGGCCATCACGTTACATAATCCGGCATCCACGTGATGCATGAAATCTTGGCGCCATAGCCAGAATATTCGGATCTGCAGCCATCAGTTCACAAAAAATAAATCTCCCGCCCAGTTGCCGCAATTCCACTCCCAGGCGGCTCGCCTACTGCACTGAAGCCGTAGAGAAGCCAATCTTCCCACAAGCCTCACTGCCAGCCATGCCTTCTGTGGTCCCAGGCTCCGCCAACAAGCGGCAAAGGACCGACCTCCCCCAAAAGCCGGCTCCAGGCATCAGCACCCATTCCCGCATTCTTGCTCCATACAGGGTAAGACCTTAAAAGAACCTCAATCTTCAGGACCTTTCTAACAATCTTCATCAATAGTCCCTCGGCCATATCACCTCCCCCACCGTTCCCTTTAGCTGCATTCCTAGAGGCTCCCAAACCTTCCAGATCACCACCTCCGTCGGGACAACCCTCCAAACATACGACATCCGCCGCCTCAACCTCGTCTTCATCTCCTCCCCAGCCACTTTCTCCGAGATCCGTCGAGTGGTAGCATGGAAGGAATACGTTTTTGCGGCATTCGGTGGGACGGTGTCCGACTCAGCACATGGAGCGTGGGTGTTTAAGCGAGGAAAGAAGGTCGCGGAGCTGGACGAGCCCATGGGTGGATGGAATACAAGTGGGTGGAGGGAAATGTTGATCTTTGGAGACTGGATTGTTGGGGCATTCGGTGATGGGCAAATAGTTGTGTGGAAGGTTGCTACCAAAGAGGTGCACACAGAGATACAGCCGACAAAAGGCGGGGGGATTGTCGGTATCATCCACCCGAGTACATATCTCAACAAGGTCGTCGTTGCAAGGACAGGGGGAGGGTTACAAATCTGGAACGTCAAGACCGGGTACGTCAACTCCCTCCTCCATCTACAAGTCCTTATGAACTAACGATAGCTATAGGAAATTGATATATACCTGCATCCCCAACCTCGGCGACGCAAAGATAACCTCCCTCACTAACACGACACATCTCCACCACATCGCCTTCTCCACCAACACCAGCCAAATTCGCATCCACAACATCCTCACCGACACAACTCTCTTCACCCTAGGCCCTAAGCTCCCCCCAACCTCCACCACCTCCGCAAAGCGAGTCGTCTCCCTCTCCTTCTGCACCGACTCCTCTGTCGGCGCCGGGACCTCCCCTGAAGGCAAAAAAACCGCCGCAAGTGGCTCAGGTCGAATTCTCGCAGCAGGTGACACAGACGGCGATATCACTCTCTGGGATCTTGAAAAGCGCCGCATCGTAGGTGTCATGCGTGCCGTACACAGCAGCACCAGCGGGGGGATACTCAAGTGTGAGTTTCTCGCAGGACAGAAAATCATGGTCACTACTGGCGGAGATAATAGTCTGAAGGAATGGATCTTCGACTCACCACATACTATCCTCCCCCGGATGCTCCGCCAGAGAAGTAGTCACTCCGCACCACCTACAGTTCTTGCTTTTCATAATCCCCAAGAATCACATTTCCTCCTATCCGCATCGCAGGACCGTACACTTTGGGGCATCTCCCTCCGCAACGATGCACAATCCTTTGAGCTCTCCCAGGGCTCAGCAGGGGTATCACGGAAAGCAAAGAAGGCGAACCTGAAAGAGCATTTGGTCGAGACAAAAGCTCCCCCTGTGACAGCAATGGCCATTTCAGACTCTGACGGCGCAAAACGCGATTGGGAAAATATAATAACGGCACACCGAGGGGAAACAGCGGCGAGGACATGGCACTACGAAATGAAAAGGTTAGGAAGATGGGTCTTCCACACGAGTGATGGAGGGGAAGCCAAGTCAGTAGCTATTAGTGCATGTGGGAACTTCGCGTTCGTGGGGAGCTCGAAGGGGTCCGTGGATATGTGGAATTTACAGAGTGGGTTGAACAGAGGCTCGTTCCCACGGAAATCACCCGTGCCCAAGAAAAAGAAGGGCCAGAAACAACCTCAACTTCCCTCCGTAGAATGGAAAGGCCACACAGGAGCAGTCACAGGTATCATTACAGACACTACAAACAAATGGATCGCCACCACCGGCCTAGATGGGAAAATCAAATTCTGGGCCTTTCTGACAGGCAAACTCCTTCACGAAATTGATTGGTCCCACACCTCAACCGGCATCACCGCCGCCCGTCTCTACCGCGACAGCGACCTCCTCGCCCTCGCCTGCGACGACTTCTGCATTCGAGTCATTGACACGGAAACGAGAAAAGTCGTTCGTGAATTATGGGGTGCTAATGGCAGAATCTCGGATTTCTGCTTCTCAAATGACGGGAGATGGATACTCTCCGCGAGTACAGACTCGGTTCTGAGAATCTATGATCTTCCAACTGGACATCTTATTGATGGAATTCGTACACCGAGTATCATCACTTCGTTGGCTTGGTCAGGGAAAGGGGAGTTCCTTGTTACGGGGCATGTCGATTCGGTAGGTGTTGCACTGTGGACGAATAGGACCCTATTCACGCGGATCCCTACCCGCCACCTGAAGGAAGAAGATATCATTGACCTGGCCCTTCCTTCATCCTCTGGTGAAGGGGGAACCTCACTCATCGATTCGGCTATCAACAGCAATCCCACTACCTCTGAAGATCCAACTGAGGAAGAATCCGGTGTATACATCTCCCGCGACCAGCTTTCAGACCAACTTCTCACCCTCTCCCTCGTACCAAAAGCTCGCTGGCAAACACTCGTCCATCTCGACCTCGTCAAACAACGGAATAAACCTACTTCCGCCCCCCAAAAGCCGAAATCAGCTCCATTCTTCCTTGGTGCGCTCTCGAACCTGAAGGATGGGAATACTGGGCTGCTGCCAAATATAAACCCGCTTTATCCCCCGACGGCAGAGGAAGCCGCGCAGGCGTTGGCAGAGCAGGAGGCGGAGAAATCGAGGATTATGAGACTGGTGAGTAGGGATAGGATTCTTATAAATGGAGCGATGGGGGTGAATACTTCTTCCTTACTTCGAGCATGTGCGGATATATCTAGACCATCAGAGACAGCGTTTGAGAAGTTTGTGGCGCACTTTAAATCCCTGCCTCCTGCGAGTGCGGATCTGGAAATTCGATCGCTGGATACTTCATACTGGGTCAACCCAATCTCCGAGGATGATGACGACGAAGATGGTTCACCATCACCAACTGAGTCTGACACTGATCCAGAGGAAATAGATGAATTAACAACCTTCATCCACGCACTCACCTTCCGACTCCGTCTCAATCGCGACTGGGATCTCGTCAACGCATGGATGGCCGTGTTTCTCAAAGTCCATGGCGAGCTGATCATCGAGATATGTTCTACTGCGGAAACTGCACGGGGAAAGAGGGGGAGGCGCGCAAGGAGATTCAGAGAGGCGCTGGTGGAGTGGAGGAAGGAGGAGAGGAGGGAGGGGAGGAGGATTGCGGATTTGGCAGGATATTGTGCGGGAGTGGTGGGGTTTTTGAGAAGTCGATGAGATTTCTTGCCTTTTTTTTTTGTATTTTCTTTTTCTGTAGGGATGTGGATCGTAAGTTATGGACTAGTTATGTGATGTATGGTATATTTGTTGATTTATGGTTTTTTTTGGTTTTGAAAAAGCGATGTTTTAATTTTCTTCAACCTACTTACCCTGAACCTGGATTCCTTGGAATGATATCATTAGATTATTTGCGGCATTTTTTCTTCATCGGCCAATGACAATGACGAACAATCCTCCCAATAGTGCCTCTATGTCCGTCTAATGGAGTATCAAATTTGAGTCGTTCCAAGATTCCCCACAAGATATATATTGCCTCACCCCCCCCTTCCTGCTGTTTGACATACATGTGTGTGTAGCCGATAATACCGTAACTATATTAGAGAGGTGTTTGTCCCCTGTAAGAATGACTGCAGCAACCACCACACACTAATGCAATTGCTGGGTTCATGCTTAAGACGAGCAGGGGTAAAAAGATGTCAATACGATATCTTTTGCTAACGATGTCAATATGGATTATCTTTGTGCTTCTTGGCGCTATCTTTAACAACAAATCTCTTGATAAGGTTAGATCGTTCACTTGGCATCAAATATTCCCCTATTCTTGTCATATGCATCTTCTCATATGCAATTGGATGCATCGCAATCATCATCATCATCATCACCATTGTCGGATATATCTGTTGCAAGGACACTGGTATATACACTGAGCTATCAGAACCACACCCCACATGACCATGGTATCCGTAGTTTGGTAGTATCCGCCATATCTGCCATATGTTGCATATATGTTTAGTGCACGTTGATGATTACTAAGTAAGGGAGATAGCAACAAGAGATATCCATGGAAATCCCAAAACCTCTTTTTTTGCACTTTGGTACTCACTGGGGTCTAAGTGTTGCGACATGGGTTGAGAGTTGTCATTTTTACAGGGGACCAAAACCTCTCTATTTTCGATAACCAGACACATTCACATTGATTAATTCAGACCCCTGTACATACATGTACATGCAGCGATTAAACAAGTCCCCCAAAAAATAAAAATTAAGTTATGAAAAAAACTAAAAATTAAAAAAGAGAAGAGAAAAGAAATGGCTCCATCCGTGGTTCGAACACGGGACCTCTCGCAGACAAAGGCTGAGTACTCAGGGTGAACCCTAAGCGAGAATCATACCACTAGACCAACGGAGCAATAGATGGTTGTTTTTAATGCTCATAGAAGTTTATATCTAAGTTTGCGATGCCTTCCGATTTCGGTCATATAAATTCGACTTCCATTCAACGCCAGCTCCACTCATTGTCCCAGGTTCGAATGACAAGCAGATCCTTGCGTCTCGCATTCGCATCCCCGATATGTTCATAACAACACTACGCAGTACAAAACACCTCCTACCACAACATGCAAGGCGACTACAAGACACGAAACTACTTGTTTGTGGGCCAAGTATGTGGATCACCCATACCTCAGCGGGTGCACCAGCGACTGAATGGCTGACAGCACAGGCACCCCTCTTCAACTATCTGTTGGAAGTATTGAAACTCATGGATTTTGCAAGCTATGAAACTATGACAAACACCCGTGGTTAGGCAAGTTAATAGAAAAAGGCCCTCAAACAATAGTTCCGTGTCTTGTAGTCGCCTCGACGACCCGATTTCTCTGCATGTTGTGGTAGGAGGTGTTTTGTATAAGTACTGCGTAGTGTTATGAAAGTATCGGGGATGCGAATGCGGAAAGCAAGGATCTGCTTGTCATTCGAACCTGTGATAATGAGTAGAGCTGGGGTTGAAGTGAAGATCTGGAAGTATGGTTAGGTGAGGTGAAAGAAAGTGGGATCCAAACAGACGGAAAGAACCTTCTCCCACCACCTTTTGTTTCTAGAAAGCTACACTTGTCTTTAAGATAGGTTTCGGCCTTTCGCTCGAGAGAAGGGAGAGTCTTCTTTTTGTTTCGCTTTACACTCTACGGGGATCTGGGTGCATAGGGAGGGGTTTGGTAGGGAAAGCAAGGTTTGTGGGGGGGGAGAGGGGGGGGGGAGAGGGGGGCAGGGACTGAAAGAGGTGATGGAACATAGGCGGAGTGAAAACAGGCGGGCGTAGTGGGTAAGGTTAGAGAGGGGGGAGGGGTGGAGGAGGGGAGGTAGAGAAGGAGTGGTGGTGCGAGAAGATCGTTCTGCGGTAGGGTAGGTGATGGGGAATAATAATGGACAATCAGACATAAAAATCCCAAAGTACTTGATAGGCCCTAGGATAAACCTCGATTCCTACTCCGCTTCCCACCCTCCAAAAAAAAAACCAGAAGCATAATAATGAGGGCGCTCTCCGAAATTGTCGCTCTTTTTTCACAGGTTGTGCCCAGAGCCAATGATGGGAAGAATTAGATATTTGGCTTTGATTTTAGTAGAATGTGAGGGTAAACTATGCGTTGCAAGTTCGCCAAGGGTATGCATAACGCACCTACCACCTCGTTGTTCATCAACGTCATCAGATTTTTTACGCCCAAAGAGATTTGCTCTCCCAATCCTTCAAGCAGCCCTACCGTACGTGAAGGAGCTCCGTGGTGACATCCTCTCAACTAATAATTTCCTTTTTACTTAATTATCGAATCCCCACTCCCCCCACCCCACCCCCCAACACCGTTTATGTCACTCAAGCTAAAACCGAACAACACTCAGAGTATCGAATAGTTCGGATTTCCGATTGGCAAACTAGAAAAACATATGGTATATTGGCGGATGATATACATGTACATGCTGGCATGCACAATAAATTCTCTCTTTCTGTAACTCGGAATTACCCCCTTCACAGGTTACATGTACATATATGGCTAAGGCCAGCAAGGCTGGGGGGAAAAAAACATGGAGGATGTGTTCACCTGGTTACGCCATCAACAGGTCAATGCAATGCGTAGCACATTATAATAATCCTATACAGCATATCTTCATTTGCCAATCCTCACGTTTGATATTCCACACCAAATATTCTTAAACAAATCAACATAGCTTACCATTTATTCGACATGGTATAATTACACTGTGGTTTTGAATACAAATATTCAAGTCATGGCGCACAAAATTCCCATCTACACGGTACACATATATAATCATTCTAAGCTCTCTGAACAATATGCACATTATATAAACTCAAAAAATTTCCAAACTAAGGTATATTTACAAACCTATTTTCCATCCATCCAGGCATTCGAACCCTTTTACCACTGACCTACCAGTGTGTTTACCACTACCACCTAACCCCAACTTAATTTACAAGCACTGCGAGTAATAATCATTCGAATACTTGCAAGTCGTGCCCGCAACACATTGCGTCGCGCCCGTCCACCTAATCCCACCGCACTGAGTATACTTCTGGGCGGCCCCCCAGTCGGGGTCGGGACAGATGTAGTCGAAGTCGAAGTGCTGGTAGATGAAGTCCGGGTGGGGTAGAAGTTGGTGCCTTAGTCGTCGAAGTTGGGGTGGATGAAGTTGGGATAGAGGAGCTAACTTGGGGGGAAACGGAACCATCTCCTATGGCGGTGGTGAGCGAGCCGGCTCGATATAGACTCCAGAGAAGTACCAGTCCTCGGCGGCGGGGTCGCTGGTGCCACTAGAGCGGTTGGGGAGGCGGAGGACTCCCAAATGCCAGTAGAGGTGGAGGCGGCGATGCGGGCGACAATTTGGGTAGGCTGTCGGGGCCGGTGGAATGCCAGAGGGCAACGGTGCCAGCGGAGAAGTCGATGTCGTCTATATATGGTATGTTAACTAACTAAAAGATGTTGTGATTGGAAAGGACATACAAGCATAGTTGTGCCAAACATCCGCCAGTTCCACTTGCTCTGACCGCCAACAAACCATTTCAGTTGATCCAACCATACCTCATCTCCGTGAAGTGGCTTCGAAGAAGTTGATCTGGTGTTCATAATTTGAGTTTTGGTGGGTTTGTTCCACTCTTCTTCATTGAGAAGTGGTAGTACAACTTCCCAGTTCCCTAGTTTGCGGTGGTTTGAGGGATCTATTCTGTCCTCCACTTATCTGAGTTCCACAAGGCAGTGTGGTCGGCGGTGGTCTTGACTCCTTCCTTGGAGACACTGTCTGCTGGGTTCTTGTATGAGGGAGAGGGATTGACGTATTCAGTGAGCCGTGAATGTAGTACTGGTATGGTCCAACTTCGTTAGCCCATGACCCTATGAACAAGTCAGTATTAATCATCTACGTAGCAAACCAGATGATGGGAGATATATGAACAGAGCTAGTGAATTCATTGAAATGACCATCCCAAACAACAGCGCCAGCATTGGCAGCTCCTACAAGGAAGGACTTCATTTTCACACACAAGAACCGGACGTACAGCTGACAATCCAAGAAGAAAATCGAAGGACGGTAGTAGATGTTGGATATCTCTTCGAGGCTTCCAGTAGGGTATATATAATACCGCCTGCCTCCAATTCAAAAAAACCGGCTCAAGTCCTGAACTTAGGCAGTTCCCCATCTTCTGTCCTTCATGACGTGATGCTATCTTGATATACTCCGGCTCTCCTCCTGGTAATTATTCGGTCGCTACCTACGGGCCCAGCGGGAAAAAGTCTGGCTACCCTTTCACTTCCCATGGTCTGTAGATTTATATTAGCTGTCAACGTATAAAATACAAACTAAACAACCCATAAACGAGATAAGGTAGAAAATATTTAGGGTACAGAATTTGATAGAATTAGAATTGTCCAACATGGCCCTTGTATCTGGGGATCACTGGGCAAGAAAGCTTAACAGGGCCTATGTGGCGGACGGCAACACGGAGCCAGCGGGCCAAACGTGGGGCAATAATTGCAGTGAATTGTATAGACGTTGTATGATGTATCTTGCTTAGTGGAGCAATTACGTTAGGAATTAAGAGTATGGGATGTAATTGTGCTGTTGACAACAGGGAAAAACAAACCTGGTTGCGAGGGAAGTACATTGCCTGAAATCGCGAAGATGAAACGTGCCAGGTATAGATACCATCGCGTCAGTACATGTATATGTTATTACTATTCTTGCAGCGATGATATATGTATGAGTAGATCTTTCGTTGTATAAGAGCGGAAGGCATGAGAGAGGCAATCCAACTTACACACCCTACGCCAGAGCCTCTATAAGCAGTTTCATTTATTCTAACAATTAACAAAAGCTAGTTGGCTATTCATGACAGGTCAAAGGAATGAGCCAAGTATTAGAAAGGGTTTCTTAGGAACAGGCAAAGCGCCCAAGTAAATTGATGAAAACAGAGAGTATATAGATGTGCCAGTATACGGGAGGTTTAGTCCATCTTTCATTCAGACCCAGATTGCTGTCTCGAATCACAGAGCTCACACCAATCCTCTCTTGCTTAATCCTTAAGCCGTCTGAATGGCTCAATCGAAAGGTTCCACGGGATGAGCTAATGGGTGCTGGTGGACATATTCGGCCAAATGGACCTTGCGGAAATCCCTAGTTGCTGTGTACTATAGTCCACGTTTACCGTCTCCTTCCATCTCGACCTCCTCCACCTCGGCGGTCCCGACTTCTACTCCTGCTCCTGGAGTACTTTCTCACCTTGCTACGACTCCTACTCCTACTGTCACTCCTAGAGCTGTAACTACTGTAACTCACACTCCTCCTACGCCTACCTCCTCCACCCCTGCGGGACCGGTATGGCGACCTAGAACGCGACCTTGAAGGAGACCTCGACCTGGAATAGGAAGACCTCAATCGCGAAACACTTCGAGACCTCGACTTTGGGCGATACGAGTCTCCACCTCTCCCACTAAATCCGCCACCAATACCGCTTCTACCTCCACCTACTCCTTGACCAGGTCGTCTTGGTGGTGAACGGTACCTGCCCCCCCCAGCTCCTTTGTAACGGCCTCCGGGACCAGATGGTGTTGCGCTAACGGGATTTTGGATACCTGCGGAACCAGGTATGCGGCGTGGAATAACAATTGAAACTTCGATCTTTGACCCGTCAAGTTGAGATTCATGCATGTGAGCGATTGCGGCTGAAGCAGCGGAGGGCGAATGGTATAGGAGGTAACAGAGCCCACGATTGGTGTTGACTATAAACAAAGAGTCAGTATAGCCTGTGATCACAAATTTTGCTACCGTGAGTTTCGAATCACAAAGAATATGATAAACATACAGTGTGGGTTGAGAGGCATGTCGATAAATTTAATATCTCCATAAACT